TTAGCAGTAGAACTGTGCGTCGTAGACTTAGGGAAACTGGACTAAAAAGTGTGTTCGCGTCAAAACGTCCTTTCATCAATAAAATAAATAAGAAAAAGCGATTCGAGTTTGCCAAGAAGTATGCGAATATGCCTCTAAGTTTTTGGAAAACAGTATTGTGGTCTGATGAGAGCAAGTTTGAGTTATTCGGACAAAAACGACGGTCTAGAGTATGGCGAAAATCTGGTGAGGGTCTCAAAGAAATAAATGTTCAGAAGACTGTAAAACATGGAGGCGGTAATATCATGGTATGGGGATGCTTTGCATGGTCTGGTATCGGTAATTTGGCTCGAATTGAAGGTATTATGACGGCAGAAAGATATATTGATATATTGTGCGAGAATTTGGAAGAATCTCTTTTGAAATTAGATTTAGAAACTAACTTTATCTTCCAGCAAGATAATGACCCGAAGCATAAAGCGAAAAAAACTATTGCCTTTTTTAAATCTAATAAAATAAAACTGCTCGAATGGCCGCCACAATCACCAGACTTAAACCCCATTGAAAATCTGTGGGCTTATTTAGATAGGAACGTGGATAAAACGAACGTAACTGACAAGACATCGTACTATGCAGCACTTCAGAAAGCTTGGGAGGATATTGATCCTGAATATATGAAAAAATTAGTCGAGAGTATGCCTCGCCGACTGGAAGCAGTATTAAAAACTAAAGGCGGCAACACCAAGTACTAAGCACCATTAGAATTAATGTTCTTTGTTCGTGACTACTTTTTTCTATAAGTGTATGATTTATTTTGTCCAGGGCACAACGCACCAATATTGAGTAATAAATTATTTGCAAACAAATTGAGCATAATTTTTATTATTTCACATTTCCTTTATTTAAATACTTTAAAATGCTTTGATTTTCCTGTATCTCATAATATATTTGCTTGTTGTAAGAATAGTTACACTAACAAATTCAAATAGTTGAAAGGTGTATGATTTATTTTGTCCAGCACTGTATAGTATCGACACAAGCGAGAGACGGGTCATCATAAGCTGCAATGGCGAAGCAATCATCAAAATTTAACAAAAAGAAGAAAAGTTCAGAGAAGCAGCTCATCGAGAAGTATCGGTCCCCCCTAATATCTTCAGTTAGAATGCATTCTGCAGAAAATGTCCAATAACAAAGTCATATGGTTTCAAGCGGGGAGTAAGATGATGACCTAGACTTTGACCTTGATCATGTCCTTCAAGGTCATTTCAAGGTCAACCTTATTTTTTTAAATAGAACTCCCAACATTTTATTGCATATTCTTATAGCTTATCTCGAGAGCTTTCCAAAACACTATAAAACATTTTTTCATTGAGTATTTTTTGAGTTATAAAGGTTTGAAGTTAACAATTTTTTGACACAAAATGTAAAATATCTTGTAAAATATTATTTAGTTTTCAGTAATCATAACCTTAATACTTTTGTGCGCGAAATAATGAGACCAATTAATTGGTTTAAAGAAAATATATTAATCGAAAAGTATCGGCTCCCCCTAATATTTTCAGTAAGAATGCATTTTGGAAAAATGTCCAATAGCAAAGTTGTACGGCTTCAAGCGGTTATGCTAGTAAGCTATCGCGGAAAACTGCCTGAAGGTGATCGCGAGAAGCTGCGAATGCGTGATGTCCGAAGGCGTTAGCGGGAATTTGCCCGAAAGCGTTGGCGGGGCTGATCTTTCTTGTCTCACTCTTGCAGGCATCAATAGTAATACAAGCTCTTGAGCAAACAATGCGGATCACTGATTTGAATCTTTGATGCAGTGCTGTCTTCTTCTTAGCGAGCAGTAGTCCGAAGACGATTTTGATAGACGCATCGAATTTTGTGATCTTATGATGGAGATGATTGTCGACGATCCTCTATTACTTAATAATATTGTTTTCTCTGATGAGGCAACATTTTAACTGACTGGAAATGTAAATAGACACAATTGTAGATACTGGAGTGACGTTAATCCTCACTGGAAAAGAGACAATCATACCCAATACCCACAAAAAGTATGGGCTGGTATTCTTAATGGTAGACCAGTTGGCCCTTTCTTCATTGAAGGCAATTTGACAGCACAAGTATACACAGTCATGCTTCGCGAACAAATTGTTCCAGCTATTCGAGACATAGCTGGTGGAAACATGGATGAAATTTATTTCCAACAGGATGAAGCTCCACCTCATTATGGTGTCATTGTCCGTCAATATTTGAATGAGGTCTTTCAGGACAGGTGGATAGGGCGAAGGGGTCATATTGAGTGGCCACCTCGGTCTCCGGACTTGACCTCACTTGACTTATTTTGTGGAGTTACTTGAAAAGTAAAGTTTATGCCACCAAGCCTCAAGATTTAGATGATTTAAGAGGGAGAATAACTCGAGAGATAGAACTAATACCGCCGGAAACGTTCCGGAATGCGGTTTCAGCTGTTTATAACAGATTGGCACATTGTCAGGCTGTTGAAGGGTAATAATTTGAACATTGGTTGTGAATTGTTTGGTACAATTGAATACTTTGCCCAAGCTGACCAATTGGAATGAAATTCGCCTTAACTGGTCGGAATCACATACCACTCTTGCCTTAACTGGCCGGAATCACACACCATTCTTGCCTTAACTGGTTGGAATCACACACCACTTTTGCCTTAATTGGTCGGAATCACGCATCACTCTTGCCTTAACTGGCCGGAATCACACATCACTCTTGCCTTAACTGGTCGGAATCGCACATCATTCTTGCCTTAACTGGTCGGAATCACACACCACTCTTGCCTTAACTGGCGGAATCACACACCACTTAACAAATTGTTAACTTCAAACCTCTATAACTCTAAAAGTACTTAATGAAAAAATGTTTTATTATAGTGTTTTTGGAAAGCTCTCGAGATAAGCTATAAGAATATGTAATAAAATGTTGGGGGTTCTGTTTAAAAAAATAAGGTTGACCTTGAAATGACCTTGAAGGACATGGTCAAGGTCAAAGTCGAGGTCATCATCTTACTCCCCGCTTGAAACCATACAACTTCGTTATTAGACATTTTCTCCAAAATGCATTCTAACTGAAGATATTAGGGGGGTCCGATACTTTTCGATGACTTTGTATAACAAATTTACATGCTTTTCCTTCTTATTAACGAAACGTATCGGAACGATCGTATATGATTTTTTCTGCTTCTTTTTATCTTGTATAGTGTATATGTTGATAGAGATATTGTTTAGCTGTTCAAACTTTTTAATTTGGTTTATGCACATTGGAAATTCAATGTCTTGCATATTCAACACCGATGTACAGTGTAGATACGAAGATTGACGATCTGCGTGTTTGTCAGCTGGACATAACGCTGCAACCACCGCCCATATGAAACATGCATTGTCCATAGATTGCACGTTGATTATAGCCCGTTTCATTTTTATTTCGCGCAGTAACTCGATGTGACATCCCGCATGCAATGGATTGTACTTGTTAACATTAACGGTTAGATCGAGTATGCGCGAGAGTGCCCACGCTAACTCGTTCCTGGAATTCTTCCAGGGACGCTAAGGTGGGTTCGATAACACACGTCACGAACCAATTGTCTAAATCAGATGTGGGAAGAAGTCCAACGTTCCTCGTATTGATGCTCTTGTTCGCGCGTTTATCACCCATCACAAATTCACCGTTGAACACAGTGTTCACTTTTACGTTACCTTGTCTCTTCATAACGCTTCGCACGATATTCTTCGCATCTTGGAGAAATCGAAAAGGTTCGATATAATCTGTATTTACAATCGCCCCGGTTGATACTCGATTATTGAACGCTGTATCGATTTCTCGCTAAAAAAGTTCTGAATGTCCGGCTCCTGCGTATACGAAACGTCTGCGCAAAGTATTTTTGAAACCCTCGAGTTGCGCTATACGAGCAACCATCGAGTGCGCTGAACCAACCGATAGTCGTGGCTGTTTGCTCGGCTATGCTGTTCCAACGACTCGAGACACTCATCGCACTTTTGTTCCCATGCGAAAGTATTCGCCTAGCGAGCCTAATCGAGCGGCCTGAATTCTGGCAGCTCGCGTTCTACGGATGATGATGATGATGATGATTCTGCCATTTCTTCTAGCAAACGTTGTAAACACACTGTAACTGTGCACTCTGTTCGTCTTCAACTAAACTATAGAATGTTCTGCTTTGAACTTTTTATAGCCCTTCATTCTTCCAAAAATACATGCCGTTATCAAAATTCGGGAAACTTCCTCGACTAACTTTTAAACACATTTCTGAATCTTAAACTCATATCGACTCGTTATGGACTTTGTATGCCTAAGTGCATGCCTTTCTTTATCTGATACAATAATAGGCTTGTAGACCTACGATTTGGTATCAGCAGTCTGGTGTCAACGACTAACAAAAATGTTTTGGTTAAATGTGATATTGTAATACGCAGCAGCACTAAGTTCTTCACAGGATATACCCTATGATATGATATAATGTGCACATCATTCTTTATTTATCTAATACTACAATAAGCTTGTAGACCTACGATTTTTGATATCAGCAGTCTGGCGTCGACGATTGACAAAAATATTTTGGTCAAAATGTGATATTGTAATATGCAGCACCATTATATTGCAGCGTTTAAAAATTGTAATAAAAAGATATAAATATTATGCATTTCTGTACTGCACATTATTTTCTTTCGTACTGCGATACGCTATGATTAATATTATTTCATCGACGTATGACTATTTAATTGATTGGCTACAACGCTGTGCCAGAGAATTATTATCTAAATTATTATTTATGTAGTTTCGGAAGATATATTGATATGTGCATTAGAAATGTTGAGAATTCTGAAGAAAACGATGGAGGGGATACAGCATTGGCAAACTTGCCTGTGTTAAAAGGAGCTCCTGCATATTGTTTCGTCAGTCGCTCTGTAAAGACAAGGTTCGACAGTAGCTTCCACATAGAGTGAAACAAAATGTCTGACGTCGGAAGTGAACGCTACATAAGCAAATTATTACATGCCTGTTCAACATGAGGATGAGGATGAGGGTCACTCCAGGTGGAAACAAAACGACGAGTGTTTCGAGGAGCCACCATGCAAAATGGAACGTAAGAAGTGAGTATCAATGTGAATTTGGTTGGTACTTTGTGAATTTGGTTGGTACTTTGTGTGCACTTTCCCGACCGAATTTTTAAATGTATATAACATTTACATTATATTTTTATAGAATTCCTGAGTCATGTCATGCTATTCGCATCCTGGGGCGCAGATATGCTTTGACTGCAACGTCTCATAAGTATTTGGAAATTGGACTCAATGTACAATCTCGACTACCCATGGAAATAATCCTCGGTGACAATCGCGGTAATGAACTAATATTACATCCAGACACTTCGGGAAAACTGATGGAAAATCGTGGCGCTGTACAACGACTTCTGGAAGCGCGCAACCCATCGTACTTTTTGCTACGGATTCGAAATTTAGGAATGAAATTGTTCGAGCTAAATGGTTCAAAAATTGTAAAATTAATGCAATCTTCTAAGTGTTTGTATTTGAGTCCTGCTACAATGAACAAGTTATTTACTTATGAATATTGCATTGATCATATATATACGCAGTTGTCTGAACAGTCGTATCTCGTTAGATAAAAAATTCAAACTTTTGTAAAAGTTCTTCGAGAAAAAAATTACCGAAATATGCTATGCGGTAAAAGCGATACGTGAAAGCGCTGGCTTTGACGGTGAGTTATTTATTGATTGCGAGCTGCTGGCATGTGCTTCGAAAGATATGCGCAAAGCTGTGAGCTGTTTGGTATTCTGAGAAATAAATTACTTTGTCATATATTATGATATATCTTTTTTACTTTAGGCCACATCCTTTCTTCCAACTTTCCCTTATCCCCTTTCTTAGGATTTTATATGTTAATTATGTTGATAAAAATACAGTTCTTTATTTGCCGTATGATGCTTATTAGACGTTCGTGAGACGTTCAATAGACGTTCGAGTGACGTTCGAGACGTTGGGAGATGTTCGATAAACGTTCGAGAGACGTTCGAGAGACGTTCGAGACGTTTAGTAGACGTTCGAGAGACGTTCGATAGCGCAGTAAACGAAGGACCTGGGGTTTGAGTCTGACCTAGTTTCGACTTATCTTTTCTTTAACGTATGCGTGACGTCATCATACACATTCTAAAGGTACCTTTACATGGGAGCGTCGAGCGTCGAGCGTCAAAGCGTCCAACCAATCAAAGTTTCTTGTTTTTATCCCTGAAATAAGAAATGAAAAACTGATTGGTTGGACGCTTTGACGCTCGACGCTCGACGCTCCCATGTAAAGGCACCTTTAGAACCTTCACTAGACGTCTAATAGCAACAGGTGACGGTGGTCTAAGAGCTTTGGAGCATTGGATAATAACCGCGAGGGCCCGGGATCGAGTCTACCTACATCCCAGTACATTTTTTTTCTCGTGACGTATGCGTGACGTCACGGCCGCCATCTTGCGTGACGTCTAACCATGAGTTCCCCTTCCCCGCGCGACGTCATATCCCGCGCTTTGAGTTCCCTATTTCCTCGCATTCCCCTTAACACTCCTGGGTTAGAACCTGTCTTACTATTCTACTCTCATACATTCTCAATAAGAAAATATGTATATAAACAGTCAGTAAGCAGTCAAAGCGCCAAAACGCCATCGCGATGATCAGCGCGAGACGCATTATCGTTCAGTTTCGGCGCATATAGCTCGCCGCGGAGCGTCTATAGGATGGGCGTGACAAACGTCAAACTTTACGTAGTTATTATTACTAAAAAACAATGGGAGATATCGTTAAATAGAAGAAGACTTTTTTGTTCCTCTCGCTTAGCTCCACGCCGCTATGGAGTTCGTGTCTTACAATTATGGGACATCCTGTATATACACCCATTGCGCAAATAGTAAACATTAGGTATTAAATACATGTTTAATGTTCTACTCAAAAACTACGACATTAAACATATGTTATGTATTTAATACCTAATGTTTTTATTATTTACATAGTGAGTATATATATATATATATATCTTTATTCGAATGTTACACCCAGTTGATGGAACACCATCAAAATGAATGTGTAACAGTCAAATGAAAGTATATTTAGCCTATTTAGTTATTCAATTAATACCTCATTTACAAGTTATTAAATGAGAATACAATGAATAAACAAGGGTTTCACGAAAACATCTTTCATTTGTATATATTGTCGTTCATTGCAAACTTGAAATATTCTGAAAAATGAAGAATAAAAGACTAATTACGCTACATTATATTTTATTCAAAATATGGGTTTCTTAACACACTGGCACACGCGCACTATTGCACCATTAACGCTTTAACCGACACACATTATTAAATATCTACATCAAACTAACACTGAATATTAATGGCCACACTTAACTGACACCCAATACTGATACCCAATGCTTAACCACTCAATATTCTGTGTCTACATCAATAATATACTGAATATTGATGGTTACACCTAACGACACCCAATGTTGAGAGTGTCTACAAACCCAAGATAATAACGAATATTGATGTCACACCCAATTGACACTCAATATTAAGAAACCCAACCGACACTCAAATTAATGCTCAATTACTCAAACTAACACCGGACTGTTGATGGTTAAATTCAACTTTCAATGGTAAACACCCAATTCAGTGTTTACACCCATTGGAGGGTTTTTTTTCATAAAGGGAAACGTACCTTTTTTTCTTACATACTGACATCTAAAACAAGAATTCCGGAAATTTTTTGTAGAAAGTGTTATTAAAATAAATCTTTTATTATGAGTATAAAATAGTGTTACGTCCTAGGGAGGAGCGCAAAACTTCTCCGTTTCGCAGGGAAAGGCGAATCTCGTTTCGTACACGTGTGGCCAGGGAACCAGGTCAAGGAACTGACACCCTTCGGGTCCTTTTACTCGTTTCGCTGACGTACGACGAGNAGATATCAGGAGAATACGGTGGATGCGTTTAAGACATCCCATTTCAGGCTCTTCAGTTTGCGCAGCGTCTTTTTCGAAAACGTGTGGTCTGGCGTTGTCGTGATGAAAGACGACTCCCTTGCGATTTGACAAAATCGGACGTTTCTCTTTTATTTCTCGATTCAGATTGGTTAATTGGCGACAGTACTTGTCCGAATCAATCGTTTCGCCAGCGGGGAGAAGCTCGAAATAGATTATGCCCTTGCAATCCCACCAAACAGAGAGCATCACCTTCATCGGGTGCAAACTGGCCTTTGGCATTGCGTCACCATGCTCACCTGATTGTTTCCATGTCCGTTTGCGCTGAACATTGTTGTAGAGGACCCATTTCTCATCGCCCGTCACTAGTCGATCCAAAACGACTCGTTATTGAGCCGCCCGAGTAAAGAAACGGCTGCAGAAATTCGCTTGATTTTGTTCTTCTCGGTCAGCAAATGGGGCACCCATATATCGAGCTTCAAATCGAATCCCATCTTTTTTAAACGCCGAAAAGCGGTTGATCGGTCAACGTTTAGTGCTGTAGCAACTTCTTCTGTTGAAATTCGCGGATTATTGAGCACTAGAGTGCGCAAAAACATCGTCATCAATGTCAGAAGGTCGACCAGAGCGTGGCTCGTCTTCAAGGTTAAATTCTCCGCGCCGAAATTTAGCAAAACCATTTTTCCACAGTTCGTTTAGCTGGTGCTTCATCCTGATAAACATCCTGAATGTTTTTTACGGCTGCGGCAACGTTTATTCCCTTCCGAAACTCGTAAAGCATAACATGCCGTAAATGCACCTTATCGATACTCATTTTTAAAGTGATATTTCTCGAAGCAGTTTGTATGAAAACAAATGATTTTTTTTTAATAACAGCTGAAGACGTCACCTTTCCAACGTTATATAATATGGTAGATGGAAGTATTAATGACAACACTTTACGACGCTTATAACTCCATCTATTGAAACTCCGCACGAACTTTTGCACTCACCCAATAGTATTGTGTAACGAATTGCATAATTATATAATATTAATAATGCTCGGCATTCTTCACAATATCTTTGATTGTAGTACTCAGAAATATAGCAAACATATTTCAAATACACGAAAACTCGGCGATTTCAGGCCAAACTCATTTATTTACAAGATTCCTATAATGTCTACACTTTAACAATGCATATTTTGAACGATATGAGAATTATTTTATAATGTTTCTAAGTACGCGAGTCAGGCCTACGAGCAGCGAAATATCATAAAAAGAGGTCTATAGCGCGAGATTCCCGCGGCCGGCGGAGTTAGCTATAACCCCCTACTCACGCTACAATCTGCAGGGTCCGATTTGCAGGAACCCTGAAGATCGGGCGGTGTGTAGGCTTGTCGGAACTGATTCCGATATCGGGCGATTGGTCGGGACGACCACACGATCTCCCGACTCCCCACTCCAACACTGCAAGTTTAATCATGTTTTATCGTGTGTAGGACGATCGGACCGATCCGGCCCGATTTTTCTTGGCATTTCTTGCATTTGCCTTGCGACTGTGACGTGCTAAAAGTACGTCTTTGCACAGCAGTCGAGCCAGTCAACTAAATTAGATTGGATCGTGTGGAGAGCAGCGCCGATTTATCCCCTCCTAACCACCCTGCAAATTGACCCTGCAGATTGTAGCGTGAGTAGCGGGTTTATATGTAGCGCTCGGCGAAGACAGAAACAACAGACGTCGTCTGCTCTTGTCTACCGCCCGACGCTAGCCGAAGCATCGAGCGCTCACGGACACGGAGTCGCTCGTTTGTGTGCGCTGTCCCTCACGCGCTGTGCTGTGCTACCGGATTGCGTTTCTAGCATTATTGGATGAGTGTGAGCTGAGAGGATTCATTGAAAGTTCCTCGGATAAAGAAATGAATTGACTCTACTCGTGGGGTTGGAATAATATACACATATATTTGAGATTCGTAATTATGGTGATATCGGATTATGTTACAAATTTTACGTCGCTCGCTCGCATGGTATCGACTCAATCCGCCTCGACGGGTGCCGGCGCAGCACTTCGCCAAATCTACATAGAAAAATCCTCCGCTAATTTACACGACACGGACACCCCGTCCGAAGGCGGTCTTACGCTAATATAAATTTTCGCAAATCGCTCGCTAAAGGTTGGACCTCGGCCGCGACAACCGTCTGGACAACAAATTTCTTTTGTGGCGTAACACGATCTTAGTCGATTCCCATGCACGTGCCACCACGCATGGCACGTCTGATAGACCTGTGCCCGTGCGTGCGTTGCAGACTGCGTTCTTATGTGACGCAAGACTCTAAATACTCAAAATGCCGTCCCGTCTCGTGCCGGATCCGCCCAACCCCGAGCAGAAATGAATCTAGTCAGTCCAATTTAGAGACTAGTAGCGAGTTAGTATTGACTAGATAAGTTTTCTAGCTAGTCATTAGCTCATGACTGGCAAAATATTCGTAACCAGTCTTACTAATCCAGTTGTTGTCTAATAATTATAACTGAAAAAATAATGTTAGATGGCGCTGTTTCTTCAGAAAACAATCTAGTTATAATCTAGTTGCTGACCATTTTAAATTGATCAGCAGATTCAAGAGAAAGGTTATGTTTATTTCATAAAAATGTCTCGTAATAATCTAATAGTAACGTAGATAGCACAACTTATAGATGGTACTATTGTATAACGCTAAGATATATAGCGAGCTTGTCATGACTAAATAGCCTGTACTAATTACAAAAAATCTGTCTTTTTTCAAGTTTCCTGAAGTTATCCCGAGTAGAAAATGATCTGTCTTTTTTCAAATAATTTCCTGAAGTTATCCTGAGTCACAAATCACAGGATCGTTTAGTCGTATAGGTGTAAACACCGATAGATAAACATACTTAGAAAAATTTTAAAATCTTTTATAAAC